AACTGATTTGGCTTCTGATTGGTGTGGCTGGTGATTGGCAGGCTGAGGGCTCTATAAAAATGTGTGGGCGTCACATGGCTCCATACCCTGAAGAAGTCACATGATCGCTGACGCAACGCATCTGGTGAAGCCTAGTTATGTCACTTCTGGTGCTGTGCAAACCAGAGTGAATAATGAGAGGAACCATCTTTGTTAAGGGATTTTGATGCCTGCTTTGAATTTATCCTTGTGAGTGTAATTTTAATTGAATAAAGCAGTTTTATTTTATGGAGTTGAACTATGCATTGTTCTTTCTTCCCTTCAGCACATACCATCCTATCAAGAAGCTTGGAGTTTGAATTCTTAAAGGAAGTAGCTAGAAGTAGGCAACAGTGGATAAGCAAAAGTCAACCATCGCTTCTAAGTGTTTATGACCTATTTTTGTAGGTCTAGGAAGGAGACTTAAAGAAGATATGGTATCTGAAAGGAGTATCATATGGATCACAATTTGGAGGACACACAGTCCATTTAAAAGTGTATTTGACCCATTATAATTTGTAGGTCAAAATTTAAAGTGAGCAGGGAGTGAATCTGTTACACATGCACAGTGTGGAATTTGTGATGAGATTGCAATACCAGGACTTTTTTTGCATGTTGGATTGGACTATTGCTATTTGATTTATTGCAGTTTGCATTTATGGTTTGTTTAAAATTTTCCATTTTAATGGGGAGATATTTATACTACATGATAGGCAATATTTTTTTTTGAATTTTATGTCACTTGGGAATACGTACAGCATATGGGACAAAAATAAAGAGGAAGAGAAGAGAATGTGTAAAAATGTGTTAACATACAAGGCTTTAGTGCAATTGCCTGGTGAGAATATAAGGAGACTATTATTAATTGCATTTGAACTTTTAAAAGGACAGGTGAGAGTGTTAGAACTCTGGTTTTTGTACAAAATGTTTGCCTGCTCAGGGGGGTAGTGGTATCTCCAGCTGGTGGATATTTTATACCCTTTGGCGCTGTTGGATACTCTAGAGAAAAAAACCTGCCAGGACTTATTCTGACAGCAGGGACTCTCTATTGTCAGAATACACTGATCAGCGAAGAAGCTGAATAGCTGCAAGCCGCTGATCGAAGAAAGCTTTCCAGTGGGTCCATTCGACAAAAGCTGATCTAAAAAATTGGCTTCTGTTGAACAAGAAGGGCAACACACAGATCAAAATTTAGTTTGTCCCTGCTGAATCAACCGAATTTCGATCCATGTGTGCACAGCTTTAAAGGGGGCAGGAGACAAATGAGTAAATATGTACACAGATAGCAGATGTGCTTTTGAGGCATTGCATGACTTTTGTCCAATTTGGAGGTCTAGAAGTTTGTTTGACTTCAGCACGTAAACCAATCAAGCATGCTAAGTTAGTTGATTGGAAATCATATTTATTTATTTATTTCAGGTACATATATATAGTATAAACCAAGAATGTGTAGTGCGCTAACTCCTCATCCAGACATATAAATGAAATAAAATAATCCTCACAAAGTGCAAAACAGTGAAGGCATGTAATTCCAATAACAAAAACTGGTCACGTGACCAGTGACGTAACAAGTGGGTGAAGCCTAGTGACGTCACTTCCGATATTGTGCAAACCAGGAAGTGTGGTGACAGCAACCGTTTTTGTCATTGGAATTACATGCCTTCACTGTTTTGCACTTTGCGAGTGCATTTTTAATAGCTTAACCCCTTCCCGCCGACATCACACAAATATGCAACCTCACGGAACTGGGCTTTTTTTCCGTGGGGCCGCTATATTCCTCGGCGCGCTCCCAGCACTGAGACTGCGGTGTCACTGAGAGCACCGGGTCCGTTCTAACAATCGGGACCTGGGACTCCCGTTCCTGGGTCACATGATCGCTGTGATAGCCTCTGATTGGCTATCACAGTGATCAGTCACTGTGCAGCCCGGCCGCCTTGTTTTTTTCTCTCTCTATGAATGGAGTAGAGAGATAAATTGTATCTCTCAAACTCCTGGCATAGAGAGAAAAAAAAAATGTTTGTAAAAAAAAAAAAAAAAAAAAGATAAATAAATATTAAAAAATAAAAGAAAAAATAAAGAAAAATACCTAGATCAAGGTTTGATCTAGTTCAGTGCCAGGGTTAGTGTTTAGGTCAAGGTCAGGATTTAAAAAAAAAAATTGCTGTCAGTTAGTGTTAATGTCAGTGTGTTTTAGGAAAAAAAAAAAAAAGACAAAAAACAAAATGCGCACTATTGTTTCTGGGCTGTACTACGAGTACAAACAACAAATAACATACACATATATGGTATCGCTGCGATCGTCAAGAGCTGGAGAATTTATTTTGGGTTATTCTTTGGTGGTAGGTTATGGTCGTAACAAGAAACACACAGCTAAATAAAAAAAAATGATTTTATTTTACTATTTTGGACAGTTTTCCTTTGATAATAGAAAAAAAATCAGAAGACATCCATTACCATTTACCACCAAATGGAAGCCCAAATTGTCCTGAAAAAATCAATAATCCACCTGGATGTACAAAGTAGTTGTGGTGATATGTACGGTTTTACTATCACATGTCAACGTTGCAGAATTGTTCTTAGGCATTTAGATTTGTTTTACCCTTAGACGTGAAGGGGTTAAAAAAGGAAATCTTTTTTATGAGGTTGCCCTATGATTTGTCCTCTTTTCCCCTAAGCGTTTACCATCCTGGTGGGAAGCTGAAATCCGGTCTCTTAAAGGGCCAGTAGCAAGGAAATAGCTACTAAGGGATAGCGGTGGACAAGCATTTAAAAACATTTATAGTGCTTATGACCTATATGATATATGAGTCAAGGAAAAAGGTGAGTGCATGGCACACTCATTGGTGATGGAAAGCACTTTTGTATATGTTGGATGAAGTGAACACTTTACAACATTGTTGTGGAGCACGTTGTGTTTTGCTGTAATGTAAGCGCATATGTTTTGTGAGTCACGATTGAGTGAAGAAATTCTGGATTTGTCACCACATGAAACGATTCACTTCTGAAAAAAAGCATTTGACCTATCATGATTTGTAGGTCAAACTTAAAGGTGAGCAGGGAGAGTATCCTAAGCACAAGCACGCCTTCTGGAAAGTGATTTGTTAAACACACTAATTTGGACATTCTTTGATTTGGGAGCTGGACTTCTATTGTAGTGTGGATTTATCTTGCATGGGATTACTGGAGGATTATTTTATTTCATTTATATGTCTGGATGAGGAGTTAGCACACTACACATTCTTGGTTTATATACATTTTAAGTGAGAGTACACTTAGTGAGTGGGTGCAGCAATCTGCCTTTGTTTATTTTTATTCAGGGTATAGAAGTGCACGAGTGTGAGCCTTTTCACTCTTTTACTTTTATATAGTGCCATCAATTTACGTAGCGCTTTACATACATACACACACACATATATATATATATATATACACACACACACACACACACACAGTTGTGTTCAAAATAATAGCAGTCAGACATCACTAACCTGATCAATCAGTGTTTTTGGTAGAAATGATATTACTACATGGCAAATAATTTCCTAGCAGGTGTAGTAAAGTAACAGAAATCCAACAGACCCAACAGTCATGACATGCATGCTGCTGATTCTGTGTCATTGAATCACTAATTGAAAGGGGCATGTTCAAAATAATAGCAGGGTGGAGTTCTATTAGTGAGGTCATTCATTCTTTGAAAAAACAGGTGGCAATTATTGCCCTTATTTAAGGAAGGAAGGCAGCAAATGTTGTACATGCTGGTTACAGTGCATTTCTCTCTGTAATTCTGAGGAAAATGGGTCGTTCCAGACATTGTTCAGAAGAACAGCGTACCTTGAGTAAAAAGTTGATTGGAGAGGGGAAAACATAAAGTGCAGAAAATGATAGGCTGCTCAGCTAAAATGATTGCAAATGCTTTAAAATGGCAACCAAAACCTGAAAGACGTGGAAGAAAGCAAAAAACTACCATTCGAATAGATAGAAGAATAGCCAAAATGGCAAGGACTCAGCCAACAATCAGCTCCAGGAAGATGAAAGAAGGTGTAAAGTTCCCTGTGAGTACTGTTACAATTAGAAGACGCCTATGTGAAGCCAAGCTATCTGCAAGAAGCCCCCGCAAAGTCCCACTGTTGAAAAAATGACGTGCTGAAGAGGTTACAATTTGCCAAAGAGCACATTGACTGGCCTAAAGAAAAATGGCGCAACATTTTCTGGACTGATGAAAGTAAGATTGTTCTTTTTGGCTCTAGTGGCCGGAGACAGTTTGTCAGACGACCCCCAAACACTGAATTCAAGCCACAGCACACTGTGAAGACAGTGAAGCATGGTGGTGCAAGCATCATGATATGGGGATGTTTCTCATACTACGGTGTTGGGCCTATTTATCGCATACCAGGGATCATGGATCAGTTTGAATACATCAGAATACTTGAAGAGGTCATGCTGCCTTATGCTGAAGAGGAAATGCCCTTGAAATGGGTGTTCCAACAAGACAATGACCCCAAACACACCAGTAAACGTGCAACATCTTGGTTCCAGACCAAGAAGATTGAGGTTATGGAGTGGCCAGCCCAATCCCCGGATCTTAATCCAATAGAAAACTTGTGGGGTGACATCAAAAATGCAGTTTCTGAGGCAAAACCAAGAACTAGAGAAGAACTGTGGAATGTAGTCCAATCATCCTGGGCTGGAATACCTGTTCACAGGTGCCAGAAGTTGGTTGACTCCATGCAACACAGATGTACAGCAGTTCTCAGAAACAGTGCGACTACAACCAAATATTAATTAACTAGTTGCCGACCGCAGATAGCCGAATGACGGCTGCACTGCGGCCGGCCAGTTCTGAGTGGATGTCATATGACGTCCTCCCAGAACGCGCGCGCACCTGGTGATCTCCGTGATCGCTGTGATGTGGTAAAAGGCCAATCACAGCGGCCTTTTACCACGTGATCAGCGGTGTCCAATGACACGCTGATCAGAGGGAAATGCAAGTGCCGGTTCTCGGCTGCACTTTCCTCACGCTGTCAGATCGTGAGGAAAATACTAACGAGAACCGGCAGTTGTCAGAGCGGGGATCGACACCGATCATCAGGGCACTGATGATCAGTGCCCTGATGATCAGTGCCCAGCAGTGCCACCCGCAAGTTCCGCCCACCTGTGCCCAGCAGTGCACCCACTAACTCCGCCCACCTGTGCCCAGCAGATCACCCACCTGTGCCCAGCAGTGCACCCACCTGTGCCCAGCAGTGCACCCACCTGTGCCACTCTGCAGTGTCACACACCTGTGCCCAGACGTGCCACCTACCTGTGCCCAGCAGTGCCACCCACCTGTGCCCACCCACCTGTGCCCACCAGTGCCACCCACCAGTGCTGCCCACCAGTGCCACCCACCAGTGCAGCTAAGCAGTGCTGCCAGTCAGTGCCACCAGTCAGTGCCCATGGGTTGTGCCAGTCAGTGCCGTCAGTCAGTGCCCAGCAGTGATGCCAGTCAGTGCCGTCTATCAGTACCCATCATCAGTGTCACCTATCAGTGCTGCATATTAGTGCCGCCTATCCGTGACACCTCATTAGTACTGCCTATCAGTGCCCTTTAGTGCTGCCTATCAGTGCCCATCAGTGCTGCCTCATCAACGCACATCAGTGAAGGAGAAAAAATACCTGTTTGAAAAATTTTATAATAGAAACAAAGAAACTTTTTTTTTTTTTTTTTCAAATTTTTTGCACTTTTTTTATTTATAGCGCAAAAAGTAAAGCGCCCAGTGGCGATTAAATACCACCAAAAGAAAGCTCTATTTGTGAGAAAAAAATGATCAAAACTTCATATGGGTACAATGTTGCATGACCGCGCAATTGTCAATCAAAGTGCGACAGCGCTGAAAGCTGAAAATTGGCCTGGTAAATAAGGGGGTATAAGTGCCTGGTAGGCAAGTGGTTAAGTGATTCAAAGGAAAGCAAAATCTTCAAACATTTTTCAGTTTATATAGTGAATGTTTGAGTTTGTAAAGAAGAATACAAACACTGCTATTTTTTGAACAGTCTAATATTCACTTTTCTTCAATTGTGTTAGAGGAACAACACAAATTTGATATATTTTTCTTCATGTTTTGATTTGGTTCCCAATGCATTTGTGTGTATGGAAATAAAAGCTATTAGAAGGATTTTGAGCTTTATTCACTTTTTTCAACACACTGCTATTATTTTGAACACAACTGTGTATATATATATATATATATATATATATATATATATATATAGTACATTCACATCAGTCCCTAACACTCAAGGGGCATACAGTCTAAGGTCCCTAACTTCCATTCATACATGTACATACTGGGGAAAATTTAGACAGGATCCAATTAACCTACCGGCATGTCTTTGGAGGGTGGGAGGAAACTGGAGTACCCGGAGAAAACCCATGAAGGCACAGGGAGAACATGCTACCTCCAGGCAGGTGGTGTCGTGATTGGGATTCTACCCTAGTACTGCAAGGCGAAGTGCTAACCATTTAGCCACTGTGCTGCCCGCACTGTGCTGCATACAGTCAGGTCCATAAATATTGGGACATCGACACAATTCTAACATTTTTGGCTCTATACACCACCACAATGGATTTGAAATGAAACTAACAAGATGTGCTTTAACTGCAGACTCTCAGCTTTAATTTGAGGGTATTTATATCCAAATCAGGTGAACGGTGTAGGAATTACAACAGTTTGCATATGTGCCTCCCACTTGTTAAGGGACCAAAAGTAATGGAACAGAATAATAATCATAAATCATACTTTCACTTTTTAATAATTGGTTGCAAATCCTTTGCAGTCAATTACAGCCTGAAGTGTGGAACACATAGACATCACCAGACGCTGGGTTTCATCCCTGGTGATGCTCTACCAGGCCTCTACTGCAACTGTCTTCAGTTCCTGCTTGTTCTTGGGGCATTTTCCCTTCAGTTTTGTCTTCAGCAAGTGAAATGCATGCTCAATCGGATTCAGGTCAGGTGATTGACTTGGCCATTGCATAGCATTCCACTTCTTTCCCTTAAAAAACTCTTTGGTTGCTTTTGCAGTATGCTTTGGGTCATTGTCCATCTGCACTGTGTAGCGGCGCCCAATGAGTTCTGAAGCATTTGGCTGAATATGAGAAGATAATATTCCCGAAACACTTCAGAATTCATCCTGCTGCTTTTGTCAGCAGTCACATCATCAATAAATACAAGAGAACCAGTTCCATTGCCAGCCATACATGCCCACGCCATGATACTACCACCACCATGCTTCACTGATGAGGTGGTATGCTTAGGATCATGAGCAGTTCCTTTCCTTCTCCATACTCTTCTCTTCCCATCACTCTGGTACAAGTTGATCTTGGTCTCATCTGTCCATAGGATGTTGTTCCAGAACTGTGAAGGCTTTTTTAGATGTCGTTTGGCAAACTCTAATCTGGCCTTCCTGTTTTTGAGGCTCACCAATGGTTTACATCTTGTGGTGAACCCTCTGTATTCACTCTGGTGAAGTCTTCTCTTGATTGTTAACTTTGACACACATCCACCTACCTCCTGGAGAGTGTTCTTGATCTGGCCAACTGTTGTGAAGGGTGTTTTCTTCACCAGGGAAAGAATTCTTCGGTCATCCACCACAGTTGTTTTCCGTGGTCTTCCGGGTCTTTTGGTGTTGCTGAGCTCGCCAGTGCGTTCCTTCTTTTGAAGAATGTTCCAAACAGTTTGTTTTGGCCACGCCTAATGTTTTTGCTATCTCTCTGATGGGTTTGTTTTGTTAGCCTAATGATGGCTTGCTTCACTGATAGTGACAGCTCACTGGATCTCATCTTGAGAATTGACAGTAACAGATTCCAACTGCAAATAGCACACTTGAAATAAACTCTGGAACTTTTATCTGCTCATTGTAATTGGGATAATGAGGGAATAACACACACCTGGCCATGGAACAGCTGAGAAGCCAACTGTCCCATTACTTTTCGTCCCTTAACAAGTGGGGGGCACATATGCAAACTGTTGTAATTCCTACACCGTTCACCTGATTTGGATGTAAATACCCTCAAATTAAAGCTGACAGTCTGCAGTTAAAGCACATTTTGTTAGTTTCATTTCAAATCCACTGTGGTGGTGTATAGAGCCAAAAATGTTAGAATTGTGTCGATGTCCCAATATTTATGGACCTGACTGTATATCATAGCATAATCATAATCATACAGCAGCCAAGAATGCCACATTACAGCCTGGATACGTGCAGGGTCTATGCAACTCATAGACTCCATTCCTAGTTCTAGCCCAGTAGAGTTGGGATTATATATTAAACTCCAAGAACAAGTACCCTATTACGAGAAGAACAAGTGGTCCACAATCCTAATGAAACAGGACTTTTGAAAAATAAGCTTTTATCTCTATCAGTCACTCTTCTCCCATGATGACCAGCTTGACACAGTCAAGACTGTGTCAATAAGCAAAAGCAGTTATGGCTGCCTTAGTAAATGAGCATTGGCTAGCGCCAGGATCCACCACAATTGCTTTTAGACATGTGCAGAAGTAAAAAATTTGTTTCATTCCAGATCGAGAAGTTAAGTTACCATTTCTGTTTCAGTGTATGTGTAACGAAAATCATTTTGTTTCATTTCATTTATTTGTTTTCAAACAGATTTGTATTTTCCTTATGGATTCAAGGTTTTCGAGCCCAAAATATCAAATTGATCCAAATTAATTGTGAAGAATAGCTGTTTGTTAAGGACAATGGTTGTTAAGGGCAGCCCCCGCATTCTTAACAATCATGATTCATTTGCTGTCAGTGGTATTTCCCGCTGAAGCAGAATGTAAACAAACAATGCCGCATTTGGTATGGATTTTGAGGGGAACCCTACGCCAAAATAAAAAAAAAAACCGGCATAGGGTCCCCCCCAAAACCCTTACCAGACCCTTATCTGAGCATGCAGCCTGGCAGGCCATGAAAGAGGGGGGACAAGTGAGAGCCTCCCCCCCAAAGAACCATACTAGGCCACATGCCCTCAACATGGGGACATGCTTTGAGGCAGGGGCCCCCCCCCCCCCCAAAGCACCTTGCCCAATGTTGATGGGGGCAAGGGCTTATTATCCGTAACCCTGGGCAGTGGTTGTGGGGGTCTAAGGGCAGGGGGCTTATCAGTATCTGGAATCCCCCTTCAAAAAGGGGGCCCCCAGATCCCAGCCCCCCCGACATTTAAAAAAAAACTATATTTTTTTTTTATTTTTTTTTTGCTTTCTACTATAAAACATATCCAATAAAAAAATCTAATTTCTTCACACATGTAGGCCAAAATGTATTCTGCTATTGGGATTTTGTTACCAAAAATATATAAGTGCATATTACGCAAAAGTTATAGCATCTACATTTTTTTTTATACTAGTATACGGCGATCAGTGACTCTCAGCGAGACTGCGATAATAATAACTGCCACTTCGTGGGAACCAGTGACACTAATACAGCAATCAGTACAAAAATATACACTGTCACTGTAATGACACTGGCTGGGAAGGGGTTAAACATCTAGGTTGATCAAAGGGTTAATTGCATGCCTAGCCAGTGTTTGTGTGTTTACGATGTACTGTTTTTACTAGGCAATCTGCTAGATTTTATTCCCTGAATAAAATTTAGCAGATCGCCATTGACATAACACAGCTCTGCCTTCTTTGCATAGGCAAAGCTGTGTTATGTCAGTCTCCTCGGCAATCAAGAGGTGCCAGCGCTCATCCATTGGCCGGCACCTGTTGATCAGCTTCTGCTGTGTCCAATCACAGCAGAAGTGGTGCTCCATCAGCAGGCGCACACCCCCCAGTGGCAGAAGTGCAAAATCACTTTTATATATGTGATTTTACACAGAACATCCGCCCTGTAGCAGTAAATCTGGATGGCAAGTGGTTTAAAAAAAACACAAACAATGTCCTGAAGTAAATCCAGAATCAATCATGATGAATGCCAGATGCTGACCTGGAAAAAAAAAAAAAAAAAAATGGAGTGCACATGATGCTTGCCCCCCGCGGCAGCTGACACCCACCAACAGTAAACAAAGGGGTGGGGTCCCCAGATGACAGGTGACACCATCTCATTATTTATTTACCGTCAGCACTGGAAACCAGAGCCGTCAGTCGGTGGGTGCCTAGAGACGTGACCCTATGTGACACCATCCCTTAGTTTATTCACCATCCATGGGAACTGGAAATGTCTGCCATTGGACAAAAAAAAAATTTTTCATTTTTTTTGCTTTTTTGGGTCAGCGGCTGGCGTCCATCGTGATTGCTGGTGGATTTACTTAAGAAGACATTTTTTTTGGGGGGGGGTTAACTTTATTTTTACCTCATACTCATTCACATAATGGGGGGGGGGGTCCAGTGGCCCTCTTCTTAAAGGGGGCTTCTAGATTCAGATAAGC